GATATATATAGATATATATAGATATATATAGATATATATAGATATAATTTTTAACACATCAATATTTAAATTGCCACAGTTTTTTATCATTTAATGCACCATGAAATTATCACATCTTTTTTGAAATGTCCTTTATTAGAACCTGGTGTTTTATATATTATACAGGCTATAATAATGTTACTTGTTTTTTTTTTCATCTAAATTTCCACAGTAACACAATCCATTACATCACCCAATAATGACATGCATTCTAATTTTGTTCCATCTACCCGCAAAATAATGTATTTTGATGCATTTACTCCTAAACCTGTGTCCTGTGAGGTGCTGCCACCTTGTGGAAGAGAGATGAAGTGCAGCTAGCTAAAGCATTCTGAAGTAAAATCCATTTCTGCTTGTTTACTGGGCAATTTTTAATACCAGTTATACCTTGTAAAAACATCTGGGGGCTCTTTTTTAATAGAGGTGCATCTTGTTAAAGCTAAACTTGCCTTTAATATTTGCAGGCTGAACAATCGTTTGAGTTTTGTCTACATAAACTCTGCTTCACAACTTAAATAAGACTGAATCAGCAAAGCTGGATGTTTGTTACACAAAATGCCAAGCCAGTCCTGATTTACAGTCAGACATACTGTCCCACATACTCCTGCAGACATGGGTCACGTCTTCCTGGCAGAATAACAATCCTAAATTTAGACGTGTTTGAACTCGTCTACTGTCAGAACATCTGGTTCAGATCACATCTGCACTTCCCTGGAAATAAACACATCGATTCACATAAACATCTGTCGATGAGCTTTACTCCGACTCTTCATTCTTTACTGAATCCATGCAAACGGAAAGCCTCGTATTTTGTGTTAGAGCAGTAACTAATAATATGTTAAAACTAATGTTTCGTTTTGTCTCTTTTGCAGATCATCTGAGCTTTGTCTCCTTAAACTCACTTATTATGTTCACTGTTTTTAATATTTGCTAACTTGTCATAAAACCCAATTATTGCACCATTTTTTTAGGAAAACTCTTATTTGACTTCTGGCTCAATCTGTAATTTCAGCCGAAAATGTTCCTTTAAAACGTTAAAATGTTTTTAAGAGTAATAAAGAGATGCAAACTTTATTTTGAAGTCAGACTTTTATTCTTGTTACTTTGACAGGCGCGTTTAACGAATCACGTGGAAGAATCATTCAGCGATTAAATCTGAGCCTTCACGCTGCGCAGCTCTACATCTGCTGCTCCACCGGTCTTATCGTAATGTCTCCAACCTGCAGGAAACAGATGCCCACAGTAAAACAGAAAGCATCAGACATGATGAAATGTGTAAACAGCAGAGAATCAAAACAGGCCAATACCTGCACATGAGGAGGAGCACTCAGGGCGTAGATGACCGCATTGGCAACGTCTATGGCTTCCAGAGCCTGGTGGAGAGAAACATGCCCAGTTTTAGTCCTCAGCTGGATAATTACTTATATAAAAACATAAAATCTACAGTAATAAAGTATTTTTACTTTATAGGTTGTGTATGAACTGGCAGCTTTCTCTGGGTCATTGCTGTAAAGCCTCGGAGCGAACTCTGTCGCCACAACGCCCGGAGAAATGCACTGCAGACAGAGAGAGTGAGGAAACAACTGGGACATCAAAGCGTTTGTTCCAGAAAGCAGCCAAAGTCTTACCGTGGCCCTGATGTGAGTTTTGGCTTCATGCAGCTCCTGCCTCAGGCCCTCAGTCAGAGCCGTCACTGCGTACTTGGTGCAGGTGTAGAAATGGATGTCAGAGCTGGGAATCACAACGTGGCCACAGATACTGGAACAGAAGAGGACGATGACCGGGTCAGAATTTACTGCTGTGTACTGAAGGACTGGATCTCTGGCTTTAGCTTAGCTTGTACTGAATTTTACTTCTGCGGCACCCAATGTTTCAGCTGTTTTACAGTTTTCTGGAAGTTTGTTCCAAATCCGTGGTGCATAGAAACTGAACGCTGCTTCTCCTCGTTTGGTTCTGGTTCTGGGAATGCAAAGCAGACCAGAACCAGAAGATCTGAGGGGTCTAGACAGTTGGTACTGCAAAAGCAGATCTTTAATATATTGTGGTGCTGAACCGTTCAGTGATTAATAAACTAACAGCAGTATTTTAAAGTCTATTCTTTGAGCTACAGGGAGCCAGTGAAGGGACTTTAAAACAGGTGTTATGTGCTCTRTCTTCCTGGTTTTAGTGAGAACGCGAGCAGCAGCGTTCTGGATCAGCTGCAGCTGTTTGATCGATTTATTAGTCAGACCTGTGAAGACGCTGTTGCAGTAATCAATGCGGCTAAAGATAAACGCGTGGATGAGTTTCTCTAGATCACGCTGAGGCATTAGTCCTCTAATCCTGGAGATGTTCTTCAGGTGATAGAAGGCCGACTTTGTGACTGTCTTAATATGGCTTTGAAGGTTCAGGTCAGAGTCCATCACTACTCCCAGGTTTCGGGCCTGATCGCTGGTTTTTAGTTGTAACAACTGAAGCTGCGCATTGACTCTAGTTCGCTCCTCTTGAGGTCCGGAGATAATAACTTCAGTTTTATTTCTGTTCAGCTGGAGAAAGTTTTGGCACAGCCACACATTTATCTGTTCTAAGCACCTATTCAGTGAATGGATTGGTTCAGTCACCCGGTGACATCCTGATGTAGAGCTGTGTATCATCCGCGTACTTATGGTAGCTAATCCTATTTCCTGCTATAACCTGAGCCAGCGGGAGCATATAAATATTGAAAAGAAGGGGTCCGAGGATTGAGCCTTGGGGTACCCCACATGTGACTTTTGACCTTTCTGATGAGAAGTTTCCGAATGAAACAGAAATCCCTGTTTTTTATGTAAGAATCAAACCAGTGGAGCACTGGACCGGAGAGTCCGACCCAACTCTCCAGTCGATTCAGTAAGATGTGGTGGTCAACAGTGTCAAAAGCTGCACTGAGGTCCAACAGAACCAGCACTGTGGTTCTCCCACTGTCTGTATTTATATGGATGTCATTGAACACTTTTACAAGGGCCGTCTCCGTGCTGTGGTGAGCACGAAAACCAGACTGGAATGAATCAAAGCAATTCATTTTTATTAGGAAGTTATTAAACTGTTTAAAAACTGATTTTTCAATAACTTTGCTGATGAATGGGAGGTTGGAGATCGGCCTGTAGTTCTGCAGTAGTGATTTGTCTAGATTATTCTTTTTTATAAGTGGTTTGATAACTGCTGTTTTCAAAGCCTGGGGGAAAACACCTGAAGACAGCGAAGAGTTCACTATTTGGATCAGATCATTAGCAACAACAGACAGGACTTTCTTAAAGAAATGTGTGGGTAGGACATCCAGACAGCAGGAACTGGAGCTTAATTGACTTATAATTTCTTCTAGGGTTTTATAATGAAGTAGTTGAAATTGGGTCATTTTTCCTGCATTTGTTTTGTTTGAGCACAGCGTTGGTACTGGCTTTGGAGTGGATGTGCAGATTAATCCTCTGATCTTTTGAATTTTCTCTGAAAAGAAACTGGAGAACGTATTGCAGGCGGCATTAGATTGAAGTTCAGGTGGCAGCATCACAGGAGGATTTGTGAGCCTGTCAATATTAGCAAATAAAGCTCGAGCGTTGTTAGTGTTTTTGTTTGTGACATCTGCAAAGAAAGCCTCTCTTGCATGTTTTAATGTTGTGTGATGGTTACGTAGTCTTTCCTTGTAGATGTCACAATAAACGTGTAGTTGAGTTTTACGCCATTTCCGTTCGGCCCTATGGCAGAGTTGTCTTGCAGACAGAACTGTTTGTGCATTTCTCCATGGAGATTTCTTCCTACCAGTCACAACCTTCACTTTAATGGGGGGCAATGTAATCAATGATATCTAAAATTTTGCACTGAACATCATCTACCAACTTATCTACGTCATTATAAGTTAAGGGCGAGGAAGAAGAGTAGATTTGATTAAATGTCTCTGCTGCGTTTTCTGTGAAAGTACGTTTTGTGATAGTAGCTGTTTGTCCAAGTGGGTTAACGGATAAAGAACATTCAAAGTGATCAGACAGGGCGACATCAGTTACAGAGACATTGGAAATATTTACACCCTTACTGATAACCAAGTCCAGTGTGTGTCCATGAGTGTGTGTTGCTTGTTTGACATGTTGTGTTAAACCAAAACTCTCTAGTATATTAATTAGCTTTTTTGCCCCTCTGTCTTGGGGTTTGTCAACACGAATGTTGAAATCACCGACAATTATCAAACAATCGTAATCAATGCATATGAGAGGTAGAAGTTCATTGAAGTCCATAAAGAAATTTTCCTCATTTGTTGGGATTTTGTATAAAGTTAGCATCAAAGTTCGTTTGTGGCCTTTTACCTCAATTCCAAGATACTCAAAAGACATAAAATTGCCCAAAGAGATTTTACTACAGTTCATGGTATTCTTAAATATTGAAGCCACGCCTCCTCCTTTTTTATGTTTTTTATTCTCACTTAAAAAAATATATGTAGGAGGCGCTGATTCAATTAGTACGATTGCTTCATTATTATCATTCAGCCATGTTTCTGTCAGAAATAAAACATCAATATTATGCTCGGTGATGAAATCATTAATTAATAGAGCTTTGGCACAGAGAGATCTGGTGTTTAAAAGAGCCAGTTTAAATGACTTGGGGGCTGAAAGTTCTTCAATCTGAGGTTCCTGTAGGCAGGGGATCAGTTTGACGGTTGTAAAAATAGTATCTGGACCCCGGTGTCAGACCTCAGAAATGCAGAGCGCTGGATCCTCAGGGAGGTTAGAGGCAGGTGGCTTAGATGAAGTGAGGTCTGCTATGTTAACGCTACGGAGAGTCGTGCCAAAGCGAACTTGTTGATCCATACCATCCTGCTGGGAGGAGGAAGAGTCCGTCCGCCTTCCTATCTGACCCGGATCCTCCACCGGCGTCTTCAGGCGGCTCAGGTGCAGCCGGACTCTCTTTAGTGATTGACTTCCTGAGAAACTCTGATCTTGTGAATGAGTGTAGGAGCAGAGAGGGAGGGGGGAAGGATGAGGGGAACCAGTTGCTCTTTCCCCCGTCGTTCTATCAGTTTGTATTGGAATAGTTTGTTCTTGATAAGCAGAGGCTTCCATCCTAATCAAACATCCTTGACCCTGTTCTTCTCAAGCGATGGTCACATTGTTGTTCTTGTTGATAAAATGAAAAATGTCTGCAGTGAGCAGCCTTATCCCATGTTTGTTAAGATTGCGTCCTCCTCTTCCAAAGAGGTGAAAGCGCTGCCAGTAGATCCAGAGGTTATCGATGAAGGTCACTGAGCTGGCAAAGCAGGTTTTTAATCAACCATTTGTTTATCGTGCCCAGCCTGGAATGTTTTTTGTCTCCCCATTGAGGCGATGGAATTGTACCGCTGAGAAATAACTTCATTTTTTAATTTTCCCATAGTGTCCAGAAGAATATTAAAGTCCTTTTTTAGAATCTCCGATTTTTGCTTTGCTAGATCGTTGGCTCCAACATGCACAAATAAAGTCTCCATTTTTGTCTCTCTATTTGGCACTTTGCGAGTCAAATCAGATACAGTGTCACCAAGAAAAGAAACCACTCTCGTTTTCTTGGGATTGCAAACATGACTGATTCCATTTACGGTCTCATCTCCAACAATAAGCGCTCTTTGCATACCTTTCGTTTTCCTGGTGGTCGTTTTGTCCTTCGGAGCTTCACGGGGTGGATGTGCTGGTCTCGCCTCATCGTTGATGTTTGAAGGTGGGTTTTCACTCAGAGGCTCAGGCTGGAGTGCAGAAAATCTGTTTTTCGGTGGGATTCCCACGGAGTCTGAGTATTTCGAGGCTTGGGCTGGTCGCTTTGTCCCTGGGAGCGAGGTCGGTGGAGCCATTTTGGTTCCAGCTGCTTGTTTGCTGTTCTTTGGCGGAGCAAGTGATGAAGTTGAAAGTGGGTTTCGGCTCAAAGCCGGCCACGCTGTTTCGTCCAGGTGAGGTGTTCTCCCTGTTAGTCGTCTCATGGGATCTGCAGCGTGAGACTTTTGTTTCGGCTTAGCGCCCTGAGCGATCCAGAGTGAACTGCGTGGTGCGGGGTGAACGACCTCACCGCTGATTTGAGAAAGAGTTGTTTCATTTCCACAGGTGGCGTTGATCTCAAAGTTCACCTCCAGCCGTTGAATCTTCGTTTCTAAAAACTGAAGTCGTTGTAGAAWACTGTTAATATCCTTGGGGTCGGACGGGGGCATTTTGCCCTAGCTCAACTTCCACCACTGCAGAACACCTGGAGACCTCCTTCCAGGTGGAACGCGTTCTGTTCGCGGCTGATGATGATGATGAGGAGGATGATACTGCATGTGTAACAGATCAAAGGATAAATCTGCACCTGTTCAGGTTGATGATGTGGCCGTCGTCAACGTTTCTCTCCTTCATGGACTGATACGCTTCACGAGTGCAGACGCTCAGAGCCAAAACATTCACCTGCAGAAACAAATATATGATAAAAACAGATTATTCAAAGTGTTCAGTAGATTGTAAATATACAGTTTTCCTGTTTTTTTCTATTTCCAAACAGTTTTTATATGCTAAACTAGCACTGGATTTGACTTTTTTATGCTTGCTTTTGATGGGAAAGAGGCAGAAATAATAAGATTTCTTTCTTCTTCTTTTTGCTTCCTTTCGTTTCATTTATGACTTGTGCTTAGATTTTATTGGACATAGATTTTATTTTTCTTTAATGAATGAATGAAGGAACAAATTTTTGCTTTTAGCTAGCCTTTTGTCACATTTAGCTTTTAGCTAGCCTCTTGCTAATTCTAGCTATTAATCAGTTTTTGTCACATTAAGCTTTAATAAATACGGAAGAGCATTGAATTCGCACAAAAAAAAATAGACACCTGATCTCGTAATTATGAGATCAGGTGTACTATTTTTTTTTTTTTTTTGTGAATGCATTGCTCTTCCGTAAATATAAACCTTTGCTTCATTTAACTAGATTTTTAGCTTTTAGTTTTAAGCTAGCCTTTTGCTATTTTTAGCTACAAGCTGGCCTTTAAGCTTTCAAGTATCATTTTCGAATTTTTTGAATTTAGCAACTTAGCTGTTTTAGCTTTTAGCTAGCCTTTTGTTACTTTAGTTAATTAGATTTTAGCTAACCTTTTGCTGCTTTTAGTAAAAGTTTAACTTTTTTTCAGATGCTAGCCTTTTCTCTTTTTAGGTTCTAATCTATTTTGCTTTACTTTTTTTACTTTTAGCCACTCTTACTTTTAAGTTTTAGCTATTTTTATCTTTTAGCTAGTTTTTTGGTACATTTACCCAGCCTTTAGCTATTTTTATTCAGTATTTTGTTACTTTCTGCTACTGTTCTGCTTCATATAGTTTTAGCAGCTTTCAGCTTTTTTTTTTTCAAACTTCAGCTCGCAGCACCAAACTGCTTCACAGAAAACATGTCTTCAGTTTTATCTGTAATCTAACCAGAACAACAAGGGTCAGTGAGAAAATGTATTCGAGTAGCTAACCCATGATTCAACCACAGCTGTCTGGGATGTTATCTGAACATTCCTAATTTCTGCTCCAAACAACCGAGCTGAAACTGGACCAGAGCCGGCTCTAGGCGAACTAGGCGGTCGCCTAGAGCGCCATCTGCTGGAGGGGGGGGGGGGCCGGACTGCACAAGAAAAAATGTAATTATTTGTAATCCCTGGTTGTAACTCTGCTAAGCGCCCCTTTCATTTAGCTTTGTCTTAAAAAAAAACTATAATGAAGTATTCCAGGAAAAAGAAACTGCTACTCCCATAAAACACTCCCCCCCCCCACAATGCAGCAATCGCCCCCACCCTCTCTCTCATTTGATTGACGTTGCACTGACTTGTCCTGCTCCGACACTCTGACGGGGAGTCAGGTTGACAGGACGTGAACGCGCTCGCTGCGAAGCAGGAGGAAAATAGAGCGGAAAAAGTTCAAAACTTATTTCTAGCGGCAGAACAGGTTGGAAGATGGCTGTTTGATGTTATTTATTGTTTTTTTAATCATCCTATAGGCTCTGACATGTTAGATAAATTTGGAAATGAGGTTTTGAAAAAAATCCGTAAGACTTGAAAAAATCCGTGAGATTGCCCTATACGTCCGTATACCTGCAAAATGATGTAAAATCCTTATAACTTACGGACAATCCGTACAAGTTGACATGTATGTTGTCATTTATTTGCTTTCTGGGAAAGCAAATAAATCTAAGTTTACCATAGTACCTTACACTGTCAAACTTGTTTTTAGGGGTTCAAATGGGGGTGGGTGGGACCTAGTTCAGGGTGGGGGGTGGGGTTGCGCTTCAACTCGTCTAGGGCACCAAAATGGCTAGAGCCAGCACTGAACCCAACCAGCTGCTCAGACCGGACCACAGGGAGTTCTTACATCCAGCATGTTCTTCCAGCCGCTGGTTTTGCCGCTCAGCAGGAACTCGGGGTGAGCCAGGCCGGCGTTGTTGATGCACACGTCCACGCCTTTGTGCTGAGCTTTGATGGAGGCGAACATGGACTCGATCTCCTCCGTCTTGCTCAGGTCGCACTTGAAGGGAACCAGCTGTCCGCTGTAGCCCGCAGCCTGACACTCTGCTGCCAGTTTCTGAAATCACAACAAGTTCCCTGCTTTTAATCTGAAAATTTACTGCTCACCTGTCATGTTTACAGGATTAAACGTAGAAAGTAATTTATTCCTTTAACAGCAAGTAAACTTAAAACGTTATTTAGGACTGACCCAGATCAGAAACAAAGTGACAAATTAAAAAAACTCAAGATGAGAACAGTCTGAAATGATTTTATCTCTTTATATATTAGTCACACTGTGGAATATTTTATTACTTTTAATAGTTAATGTTTAACTAATTTAACCTTTGTGATAAAAGCTGAAACAATCTTTGATTCAGGTGTGATGGACAGACTGCAGAACCTCCTTTTAGCAACAAGCAGATGTAGATTACAAATTACTTTACGACACATTTATATTGTTCTTTTATTAATAATAAACTGATCTTAATCATACCAGACAACTATTTAGGAACACAGTAATCTGTGCAAACTATTGTAAAAATATTTGATAACTAACCGCCTTTGCAGAGCTTTTACTTTGAGAGTATATAAAATAAAGAGTGCATTGATTTTTTTTCCCCGTTTCAAAAAGTTTCTGTGAAGTAATTCCTAAAAAGCAGCAGAAATGTTTATGTACTCGTGCACAAAACAAGTAGACAGTGATAAATGTACTTATATAAAATGTTTATGTTGCTGTAAACTAACGGAGCGAAACACAAGATCTCGTTTGTCAGGTTTGCTCCTGAAAACCAGACTCTCCCACGTCTAAACTAAACGTTATCAAAACAGCCTTTTCATTCTGTTGCATAACGTCTGCCTGATGACCACTGAAAGCTTTTCCTTTATTTACTTATAATCCCACACGCCCATCCTGCAGATTACATAACCCTGCACAGCCTGGAAGTTACAAAAGCTTTAAAATCACACAGAGGGTGTGGTTAGAAATTAAACCAAACTGCTGCGCAGAACAGAGGAACACTTTGTTAAACGGCCTAAATCCTATAGGTATTACCCTTTAAGTACTACCATAAGTACCCTGTAAATAGCCTTTAACTATGATTGATTATACTTTGTAAATACTCAGTTATTGCTCCTTGTATACCCCCATAAGTACCCTGTAAGAACACTCTATATACCCCTTCTGTAAGTACCCTATGACTACCCTTTGCACCCTGGTAAGTAACCAAATCTATCATGTAAGTATTGCCATACATACCTTAGTACCCAGTAATTGCCCCTCACAGACCCCCCAGTAGGAACACTGTGTTAACCCCCATTAGTACACTGTAATTACTTTGTAAATGCCCTTGTACATCACCTTCTAAGTACCCTATAACTACCCTCAAACCATCTTTTATGTACCTTGGTAAGTACCTTGTCATTAATCTTTAAGTACCCTGTGTTTGCCTTGTACGCATCCTGTATTTACCCCTGTAATCACCCTTTATGTACTCTGGTAAGTACCCTAAAGGTTCTACCATAAGTACCCTGTAAATATTCTGTAGCTACCAGCTAAGCAGGGCCAAACCTAAATTGTAGATACCTAGTAAACAATCCTCAAGTACCCCCATAAGTACCCTCTAAGTACCTTTAAGAACACTTTTCATATCCCTACAAGTATCCTGACTTTACTTTGTAAATATCCTGTATGTACCCTTGTAAGTACCCTGCAATTACATTGTAATTATCCTATAACTACCCTGTACATATCCCTCTAAGTACTCGGTTTAACTTGTAGTTTCCTCTGTAATTACCTTGCATGTAGCCTTGCCATTACCCTGTAAGCACTCTGGGTAAGTACTTTATAAGGAATACAATACATAACATGTAAATACCCTATAATTATTATGTAAATATACATGCCATACATTACCTTGTAAATACCCAGTAATTGTCCCTTACATACCCCCGTACATAAAAAAAACACCGTAATGTCTTTGTTAATGAACTGTAAGGACACTATCATTACCCAACACCCAGATATTACTCTGTTAGAACTGTTGGAGTGACGGTTACAGCAGGTGGTCTCTCAGGACTTACGGCCCTGCAGAGTGGACCAGAGTGGACCAGAGTGGACCAGAGTGAACCAGAGTGGACCAGAGTGGACCTGGACTCTCCCAAGTCCCTGCAGGATCCAGACTTTCATCGCAGCATCATTCACCAACAGGCTGATTGTGCAGAAGATGTGAAGTCTGACCAGATCTGACCAGGTCTGACCAGGTCTGACCAGGTCTGACCAGGTCTGCGATTAAGATCAACTCTGTTCGAGCAAAGCCGCAGCTGACAGGTTCACAGAGCTCTGTGCAAAAGTTTTCAGCACTTTCCCCTCAGTCTCAGAGATGTTAGAAAGCCAGACAAGGTGCAGTGATTTAAGTGTTTTCTCTGTCTGACACTTACGTCTTCATGAGCGTCGACTTAAGTGAGATTTCAGGACAAATTTGCTGTTGATCCTGTGGAAATGGAGATTTAAAAATGTCTAATAAAATAATGTGCAGCTCTGTTTAGATTTACATACATCTGTGTGTCGGCCTATTTCTGACACCAATGTCTTGAAATCAAACTGATAAAAAAAAAGACTCCAAAAGATCTACTTTACCAGTCTGATTCAATGCAAACTGTCATTGTTCAGTGTTTTAATGTTCTCTCCTGACTGTGAACTAAATAATATACTGTATATAATATTATATAATGGATTACATAAAATGCACATTCATGTAATGTTTTAAGGTGAATTACAGATACAGATGTGGTGTAAATATTCAAATAAAACAAGTTTATTCCTGCAGTTTAGGTTAAAACAAGATAGAAAATTAAAAAAAGTCAAAAAATCTAATAAAAATCTAAATGTTTCAAAATAAGAGTAATTAAATTATTATTTTATTGACACAAGTGATAATTTTAAAGGCATCTGCTCCAATAATCAGCCTCATCAATCAGGATTTTAATTGTAATACACTTTAAACAAAAGTTTTGTTCAGAACCAAACCTGGATCTTCTCCACGCTCCTGGCGCAGCCCACCACCTTCATCCCGGACCGGACCAGCTCTTTAGCGATGGTCGCTCCGATCCCGACCGAGGCTCCGGTCACCAGAGCCACTCTGCCCCTCCAGCGGTCCATCTTTCACTGCTGAGACACCGGAGACCTGCTGCGGACACGAAGGACAACCGAGTCTGACCGAGCCGACCCGAGGGCGGGGTTTCTTAAAGGCGCGCGCGTGATCGTGCGGCGTTCACGGACCTGGCTGTTCTGCCCGGAGAACTTCCTGTTTCGGTAAAACGCAGCGCTTTTGTTCAGACTTTTACCACATTTTCACAAGTTTTACCTCAATCAGAACAACTTTTGTTGTGTAAGCTGGAATGAAAACAAGCAAAAATTAAATAAAAGTAACGCCTTTCTACTTCTTGCCTTTTTTTAAAAAAAGTTACAGATAACTGTGGAGTAGAAATGTAAGAAGTAGAAGTAAAAAGTATGGCTGAAAAAGAATTAGTTACTCAAGAAAAGCACAGATACCCCAAAATTTGACTTAAGTACAATAACAAAGTATTTGTACTTCTTAATTTACCACTCTGCCTAAATTTAGTGACACTTCCAAGATTAGTTTAAGTTACTTAAAGTGGTTTCTGAAGGGGTTGCAACTGTTGGAGACTATAGTCTCCAAAATGTCTCATAACTTTGTTCTGCAGCAAGAAGGAGACATCCTGTCAATCTGCAGTCTCAGTCTGACAGGTATCTTTCTCATAATTTTGAGCTTTTTTCCATCAGTGAAATGTAACATTTAGGCTCATTTAAGGGTCCAAATTAATCTGCTAAATTATCCCTCAACAAAAAAAAAAAAAAAACAAGAGCGTGATGTTTTATGTGTTCAAGGAGGAATCAGATGTTACCTTGCAGCTGTGTTGAAATGAGCAAGTTTTTAATACTTTTTTGTGGCCTTTTTTATGCACCATTTATGGAAATGTGCAACTAAAAGCCTTAAAACCCACAACTTTTCTATTTAAAGAAAAATATTTGAGAGATTTGACACAGTGAGTGTGGACAGAAAGATGTAATTCTTCAGATTTAAACAGTTTGTGCTTTCTTTAAAAAGCGGTAAATATGCTGTGTCCTCTTCTAACTCCTGACTCAACTCGCCATAAAGGTTTTTTTTTTTTTTTTTTTGTTCCATGGAGCTTCAAAAGCTTCAAACAATATTACACACACCCATCTTTCATTATTCTGATATATTTGTTAAGTTTATTTTTATTGATTATCCTTTCTTTCTTACTCCCCGTCACACCTGATTGAAATCCCTGAACACCACACCTGTATTTCGTGTCCTAACACTCCCTGAGTGTGCACAAAGGTCTGCTTTTCAGTTGACTCTCCTTGCTTGTTGGTCCAGTTTTGCTCCATCGCAGCATTTTATTGTGGATATAAAAGATTTATGATTCATACCACCTGCATTTTAGCCCTTCACCTCTTTTTTCGTTAATCATCCCAATACCAACCTTCAAAGTCTTTTCCATTAACGTCCTTCTTTCAGCAGTTTCTTAGAACAGCGTGTCGTCATCGGCATATTGACTTTTTTTTTTGTTCTTTTTTGGTTTGTTTTATAACAAACAGCCTGCAGCACAGATTTGTTTCAGTTAAAAGTCTAACATTTTGCAATAAAGAACACCAGTTTCTACTTTGAAAGGGCCATATTATAACCAATCTGGACAGATATGGACATTTGTAGCCCTTACCTCATTCCTCCCATGTGTTTCTAACACGAGTTAATAAAAAAAAAATACTTTCAACTCATGAGCATCACGCAAAGAAATGCTCCAGGCTGTCTTCAAGATTAAAATCATACACTTGTTGTCAAAGGAAAGTTAACTCATTTAATAATTTATGTAGCATTAAGTCCCCTGATCGCATGTCAACAAGTCTGTTGGAATTTAAAACTTTTAACTACTATCACACCAAATTGTAACATAATGTAAAAATAGCCGAGTTGTCATTTATGCATTTAAGTTTGATTGTTCTTATTATTTGTACTTTAAATGCTTTTGCTGTGGCGGCCTTCTTGAATCAAGCAGTAATTGTAATATGAAAACTGTATTACAATTACAAAATGTTTGACTGCTGCTTTGAAATTGTATTTTGACCAAAAAGGGTGTGCTGATATGTGTTGACATGAATAAAAGTTTTTTTTTTAGTAAATGTGAAAATGCCAATATAAATTTTTTGTTGGGCTTTTGAAAAACTATTTATCGTAAAAGACACATACCCTGAAATTACTGTAAAAAATATGATTGTTATTGTTTAACAACACTAATAAACTGAGAATTTTGTAAATCAGCTATCTGTGAAATATTTTGCTAACAGAGCAAAAGAACATATCCTCACTTTTCATAATGACAATGCTGTTTCCATCCTGTTTTAAGGCAGAAAGTGTTGTTATTTTATTGGTGTGTTTTCAGTCTGAGCAAACTCTAACTTATCTAATGCTAAATAAAATGTAGTAGGCCCAAATGATTGATAACAACGGTTAATATTTCTGTACTTTGAACTCGAGAGCTAAATTGTTGTTGTGGTAATTGTTTTTAAGAGGATTTTAAATTAGACAAAGATCTGAACAATGCTCAGTTTAAAAAAAACTTTTTAAAAACATTTTCTGTGCTAGCTAATAGTAGATTCCTTACATTCGCTGTGATCTTGAACGTAGCACAGTGACGTATTACGTAACATTCCACGCGGTGCGTTCAATGCCTGGCGAACTTCGGACTTCTCTGCTAGATTAGTTTTTAAGAGTGAAAACTTGTTGCCTGAAGTGGGTCTTGTCTCGGGTGTCCTGCTCAGCAGTGAAAGATGGACCGCTGGAGGGGCAGAGTGGCTCTGGTGACCGGAGCTTCGGTCGGAATCGGAGCGGCAATCGCCAAAAAGCTGGTCCAGTCCGGGATGAAGGTGGTGGCCTGCGCCAGGAGCGTGGAGAAAATGCAGGTTTGGTCCTGAAATAATA